TCTCTTTCAATTTCGAGAAAAGCAGACTTGGCAGTTCTTTTCTGTTTCCTCCCTGACTGATCTGCGTGTGTGTAATGTGTATTAAACCCCTAGCAAGCATATTTCCAGCTTCCTTTCCTTGGTTCTTATCTAATCCACTTTGGGTGGATAATTCTTGGGTCAGTGTGGTTTTGTGTGTTTAGTCCAGTCATATTTGCAAGAAAGAAAAAACAAAGTACAAGTGCTTTTTATGGAGCAGGAGACACAATGTTTAATGCAGATATTCCTATGGGTGTTACCACTGTTGGGTGGCTACAGCTGTGTCATGTTTTAATAAAGTACTATGTTATATGAAGAATTAAAAAGAATAATTTAGCTATCTACCTTGATGCTGGGAAGCTGGTAGTATCATGTTATAAAACCTCTCTTGCTGTTGCTTAGTGCTGATTAAGATGCAAACAATTGCATCCTGAGCTAAATTCATGAGGGGCAGATTCTCCCAGTCTTACCTGCTGCTGAACTGCTACCTTCTCCTTTTCCTCGTGCCCACTCCAGGAATGACCTGTATGACCTTGCTATCTGCTACCACTCAATAAGGAGAATAACAGAACACTTTAAAGATCAGTCATGGTACTGTATAACCAGCGTTGTATATTAATTTCCATTCCATTTGGTGTAAAACTTGTTACAAATGAATGATCAGATTAAAAACTGAAACAGTTTTCCGTGTGTGTGTGTTTTCAAAGAACTGCTTGTACACACTGCTCAATGTAAATGAGCCACACTGACCAAAATTATTTAACCAGAGGTTTTTTTTTTTTAATGGAAACATTGTGAAGAACTGTGCTTGCCTGCCCTCCTGGGGAGGGGTGGGGGCGACTCGGCGTAGGGCGGCGTTGGAGGCGCTGCCCACGCGGCTGTGCCCATAGAGCCCTCTCTCAGAGATGGGGAGTTGCCTGGAGGGGGAATTTTTCTGTCAGCATAACTGTGCTGCTCTCTTAGACGACGTGCATTGGTCTGACAGAAGCGTTCTTCTGCTGGCATCTGCATCAGGGTTGTTGCCCACGTAACTATTTGGCTAGAGTTTTTGACTTCCTTCACATGATCCAGGCTGACGTGACTGTCTCTGTTACTTTAATGTAGGCTGGTCCCAGGTCAGACGAGGAGCTGTTTGTTTGGCTCAAGTGCTAGGGATTACTTTTCGGAGAATGCATAGAGGTCTTCTAGATCTTGGTATTTAAAAGCTCAAGCTTAAACACAGCATGAGAGAGAGAGTTCTCCCCCGTGCCCCCTGCTTCTTACCATCTCTGTTGTGTTTTTTAAAAAATGAAAATTTCTTGATTCTGAATTGTTTTTCTCTATATCCATATGCCAATGAAAATCATCCCTTTTGGTATGCATTTCTTTAGTTTACCTATAATTTATTGATATTAATCAATTGACAAGCACACTGTATGGAATTTTTGAGCTATAAAAAATCCAGCTGTTTAACAACTGAGTATTTATACTTTTGCAGACCCTCATAGTGTACTTGAAAGATGCAGCAATGCCCACTGGCTTCTCTGGGTTACTTTACTAAGAAATATCTGAGAATTAGAATTGAAATCCTCCTGAGAATGTGTTCCTTGAAAAGGTTGGGCTTCTAGATTTTGTTTTTAAATGGCCAAATAGCGTAGCTGAGTAAACGCACAAAAAATAATAGGAAAAAATATCTGTCTGTCTCTAGTTATCTGTGCTATACTGAAACAAAAAAAATCACATTGGTACTATAACTATTTCTGTGATCTAACTTAGAAACAATAACAACTGTGTTTAGGACAGTCCAAAGAAAAAGAGATGACTATCTTTCAGCCATTAGTCATTCGCATTATACCATGGATAAAATGAGATCGGTAGAGAAAATGAGGTTAGATTAATCTTCCCACCTTTCATAATCTTGTCTAAAAATTTCTCATGGAATACCAGCAGATGCTACTACAAAAAATGCTCATGTTCAGTTCAAGTAAAACCAGAAAAGCTGCCAGTACTATGTTAGCAGATATCTGCTATGTTTTTTTGTTACAAAGAGCATTTGCTCCTTGAACAGAGAAACAAGCGAGCTGTTAGATTCTGCCCAGAAAATGATGCAATTAGAAGAGGAAGCATTTGTTAGAGAACCTCTTATTCAATTCTCTAAAATGAAAATGTGAAAATAAATACTTCCAACTGCCTTTGCACAAATATTTCTACATCTTTTTCATTTGTCTGCCTTTTTGAAGAATCGTTGCAAACTGATCTTTTCACTTTCTAAAAACCTGTATTTAGGGGGGGAAAAACCCCAGGATACAGAAGGCCTGTCAAGGACCACAGGGGAGCAGAGAAGAAAGGAAGGGGCACACCGAATGCAGTGAGAAGGAGAGAAAATAAGTGTCATCAAAATGGGAAGTGCCTACAAAAAGAAAGTGAACATTATTCTTTTTCTCATTTATTATTGAAGAAAATAAAGAGTAAAAATTCAGGTTAGGGAGCTACATAGATTTCGAGAGAGTAAAAGAACCCTCAACATCCAAAATAAAAAGGAGAGCAGAATTAAGAGATTGCATTCCCAGATGGACTGTCTAGTAATTTGGTTTTCTAAAGATAAAATTACAAATAGTCTGAATATTACTTAATTGTGGGATGGAGAAGAACTGCTAATCTTGCCTCCTAGTCATAGAAAATGTAAGTCCCAGCAGTTTTACGGGGCTTCCAATTGAAAAACTTATTCTAGGGAATGATCTTGGGTCCGATTCTCACATTGGTATCACAGGGGTGGAACTTACATGTAGCTTGTTCTGACTTCAGCCTGTGGGAGAGAAGACTTAGGAGCAATGTTTAGAGGTACTTTTTCTAATATGTAAAATTCAAGCTTTCCATTCCATTGGGAAGTGTCACAAAACACTGCCTGGAGACACGTGGAATCTTCATCCTCAGGTAGAGTCAGGACCCACCTGGAGATGGTTCTGAGCAGCCTGACCCAGCTGGACCTGTTCTGAGCAGGGGATTGGACCGGGGGACCTCCAAAGTCCTTTCCAACGTGTATGATTCTTTTTCCTTCATGGCTGTCATATACTATAAGCATTTAATAATGGTTTGGATTTATGGCTAGCTGGAATGTAAAATTTTATTCTTTTAAAATAATATCCAGTTAACATTTCCCTATTTCCCTGTCATTTTTAAAAAACTTTGTTCAAATTTCTTCATATTTAAAACTAGTCAAATCTGACTTCCAGGAAGCTATGAAAACTAACTAAGCAGCTTAGATTGTTTAGACTGTTAGCTATGCACTTGCTGGTTTTATGCATGAGAACATAGTATTCTAAATTATCTGGTTAAAAACAACTTCTCTCTTTTCACTTCTGATTTAGCTGGAATGCCATATATATATGCAGTTAGGACTGCCATTATACACAGTTAGATGAAGAACATATCCCAGGTATTCTTCAGTTAATATGTATGCCTGTAGGACCAGGTGTATGTAAGGCATAATGAACTCCTGACTGCTTAGAAGTATCTTATGTTGGCAAGTGGGCTTTTTGGCACCTTATTCTGAAGAAAGCTCAGGATTTATTTTGACAATTTTCTCTCTTTAGAAGGAAAAAGAGCAAAACCCAAACAAGACAGCAGTCTAGACGTGCTCCTTCTCCAGTGATATTTATCTATCAAATATTGCTAAACTATTATCAGTCTGACATTCTCAGAACCCAGTACTTGGTTATTGGTTGAGGGGGAACGCAGGGGGCTTTTATAATCTGGAATGCAGATTTTTATTCAAGCTGACTGCAATACTATTTATGCAATAGACCAAACTATTTCTTAAAAAAAGCTGAAACTCAAATCATACATCTCAAATCAATACAAATTGTTGTGAAGCTTGTGAAAAGCAAAATGCAGAAAGAAATAAGCATGATTTTTTTTTTTACCAAATAAACAAATGGTGGCCATACAGTGGCTTTTATAGTACCCATTGTGTATTTATCTGGAGAAGAGTTTGTGACAAGACACCTTAGGAATTATGCTGAAATCTTTGGGGTTTTGCTGTCGGACATTTGCCAATGCTCTGTTTTTTTTCGTGCAGTGTTCATAATAAACAAAAGATTTGTTTTTGAAAGACTGTGATTTTCCTGTAATGCAGAATTTCTCTTAGAAAAAGATAAGTTCTCTCTTCTTTAATCCTGAACTAATAGATTTCCCTAATAGCATAATTAATAGCAAAGAATGAAAAGGCATTCACATGTGACACAGTTAGGAATACAAGATCAAGAACTATGCCGGCCTGGGAAAAAAGGTTTTGGTGGCCTACTTCTAAGTACCAGATCTTTAGTGTAGCTGACCGACGTTAGACATGATAGATACCATAGGTAATAATTCAAACAAAAAATTCAGAACTTAATTACTTTGCAGTCTAAAAAATTACATTTTTCTTTTCTTGTTTGTAATAGAAGATGTTTTGTTTGGCAAATTACATAAGTCTATGGAAGAATTATCTATTTCATCAAAAAAAAATCTATATGTGTAGCAGGATAAAGGTGTGAATTCTGTGCATGCAAATCCAGAATTTTCTAATTAGCCATGTTTACTGGAGTTGCATATGTACCCTTTGCAACTTATATCCTACTTTGGAATATGTAAGGTTAGAAGTCCCTGAATGCTGCTCAGCTCCTTCTCCCATGTGTGGGAGAGATTAGAGTATATCTAATAGGTTTTTTTTTTCTTTTTTCCTAAAAAATGCTACTAACAATAGGCTCATCTAAGGCCATAGACAAAAGCATTTTGCAGTGGACTGGGAAATAGTTCTGATTCAATGGAGTAATTTAAAGATTCCAGCTTTAAAAAAGTATCAAGCTGGGAGATGCTTTGACACATGGACGACATGTTCCAAGTACCTGCTTTGGTGAAGACACCCTCATATTCCCTCTACATTTTTGGTTTGTAATTCCATCTGAAAGCCAAACAGGATTCAAGGTTCCTCCTTGCAAACTTTCAATGGGATAGTGCAACCCATGAGAATTGTTTCTGAGGTACGTTTTCAGAAAGTAGTTTGTTGCTTTTGCCAAGTCTCATAAGTGTTTTAGCATCAGAGATGCCGCATTTGGGGTCCTGGAGTCAGTAGGTCTGTTTTATGCTGCTAGTAGAAGGGGGATCATTGCAGTGTTGTTTCAGGACCTTGTGACTAAGAGGCAGTGCGGGAAGGGTGCATGTATATGTAAACTGAAATTTGTACTCAAACACTTGTTCTGTCAAGACACGTGAAAAACATTTGGAGGATGCTGATACTGGTGAGTTTAAAGCTTAGACCATGATTACGGGGTGGGGGGCAGACAAGTAATTTGGCCCAGGCCAAGTTCAGTTCCAGTTTCAGTGAATGCCTGTAGCTAAATGTAATCAATATAACTGCTTATTCACCATGCTGTAGCTCTTCAGCACTGCTGGAGAGTCTTACCTCACTCTCCAAGCAGTGCCCGTCTCCTCCACTGTAGAGGCTGCCTACCCTTGTCTAGGAAGGGAAAAGCTGCCTGCTGCAGTGTGATTTAAGTTTTCCTTCGAGGCATAATTAGGAGCAAACAGCAAAGTATGGTGCCTTGCTTTGTGTGTATGTTCTGTATGAAACAGGATGCAGCAGCCTGACAGCTCTTTTTGCACACTTATTCACGGCACACATTTTTCATTCTTACATTCTTCTGAGCTCATTTTCTTAAGTCTTCACATTTACATTCTTGCCTGTTCCCTGATCTTAGTGTTTCTGTGCAGAGGCTGGACTTGCTCCACATTGTTCATGACTCCTGCCTTTGAGCTTTCTTTCTCTCAGTTATCCCTAGAAAATAAATCCTGTTACTTTTTCACTTGCTTAGCTGGCTTTTCATTCTCCAGCTAAAGGCATCTGCTTGAGCCTTCTGCTTAAGCCTTCTGCTTAACTTTTCCACTTCCTCTGCTTTCAATCACATCAGTTCTCTTTAGTTCTGTACTCTTTCTCTGCTACTGCTTTCTTGCAGTGCTCTTTCAGCAGCTTCCAACAACTCCATCAACTCCATACTGTGCCTTTTGTGCCCTTTTTTTTTTTTTTTTGCTAGAAAAGCCAGCAGCTTCTCTTGGCTCCTATCAGAGGAAAATAGACATAGCTAAACTGGATCCGTGTCCCCAGAAAGGCTGGTGACTTTGCAGTATTAAAGCTTGCTTCCTGTGAGCAGTGAGAAGTGTTTTTTTACCGTAAGGAGACCGACCAGTTTTTCTCATGAAACCTGTAAGCGGATCCGTAAAGTTTAATCTATGTAAATCACATTTTCTACTAGAAAAATAAACTGCAGTTGGAAAACTTTGCATATGATAGCTTAGACATATGGTGCTGTTTGGAGTGCCAGTGCTGATGGAGGAAATCTGTTCCTTCAAGGGTTCCCTTGCTCTGCTGAGAGACTTAACGTTGCTGCTTCTGTACAATGCCAAACCCTTTTGAAGATAAAGAGCCGGGCTGTACCCTTTCTAGAAAATAGCCGTGCTGTTCCAGAAGATTCCCACTACCACTTCGCACAGCAAATAGTGGTCGATTTGGCTAAACAGTCTGGAACAATGCTGAAGTAACAAAGATTTTTGGTTGCCTTCAAGCTGCGGGTACCTAGAGATCAGAAATTAGTTATGAATACCTGAAGGCTCCTATACCTTCATATGAAGCGGTCTGAATCACGTCTTGCAATATTATGTGCCGTTTATATATGTGCTGAATTATGTGCCGTGCAATAGTATATGCTGGGGTTTTTTCCCCCCTATTTCCCTCTCTCTTGCCCTTGGAGGCAATACAGATCCTTAATATACTGCTGAGCAAGTTACCCTGATAAAGGGTGAGACCAATACATTTGAAGGTTATCTACTACCAGCCTGGAAATAAGATATATTTTCAAATAAAGGTAGAAATGCTGAAACTAACAAAACAAAATCCCCAGTGGTAACCTCCACTACATTAGGGGCAGCAGATGAACTAAAAGTACAATGTATTTTTATATTCAGCTTTCCTGTTCTTCATCAGCTATTAGTCTTTTAGCCCTGAGGTAGCTTGTGAGCTTGTTTGCACAGCAGTGGCAACAGCAGCTCGAGGTTCTGGGAGTACCTAACATCCAAACCTGGTTTAAAAAGAGCAGCAAAGAAGGGGCTGTACCTTTAGTATCAAACAACGAAGCAACCTTAGTTTTGCACAGCCGTGTCCAGAGAGGTAATGTGCACCGAAGGAGGCTTTCTCTTAGGTTTTCATGGAGGCTAGGATTAGCAGTGATGCTCGCTGAAGTACTGCGGTCATGCCACGGATGTCAGCTGGCACTTTTATGGAGACGCTTGCTTTTTTTTTTTTTTTTTTAATCTGGCCCCCTTTATTTATTTTCACATGTTTTCATCTTCTCAGAGTAATGAGAATATGCCATTTGAACTGGAGCAACTATACAAAATAAAATAAGTTTAGTGTACGAATTTGTAATATGAATATTACAAACCAAATAGAACACAAGTGTCCTTCTGAGTTGCTTCCTCTGCAGTATTTTATGTCAAGTTTTGCTTGAAGTTGACTTAATTTTGGTGTTCCTGGTATAATTCAAGTTACTGTGGATAGCTGAAATATTTCAAGAAGTAGACAGATATAGTTAACGGCTTATGAAACCGGTGAAAATTCATAATCTGTGATCTTTCTTAGCCTGACTAGACCTCTCACTGTTGCCTGAAAAATGCTGCAAATGCATATTTTAAGATAGGTTTAGAAACTCCAGGACTTAAAACCCTGTTAGGAATTTTTTCTTAGATATGGCACATTCTTATATTTTGTCTTCATTTTAAAACCTTTTTTTTGCTCAAGCCTGAGCTATTAGCCTGCCATGAGTGTGTTTGCATACCTTATCTCAGAACTGCTTCCTCTTCTGCGTTTACAATTGCAAGGTACAACGTTGTGTGTATATGGGGTTTATAGGTCTTCAAATTCTGTGTGCTCAGTGACTCTGAACAGTCGTTACACCAAAGGCAGTGTTTGGGGCCAGCTCCAGGCTTATCACATTTAAACAAGCTACTAGTTCTCATTTTATATTAGTGATGAATATGGCACAACAGTTTTCCTTTAGTGAAAGTGGCAGTCTGGTAGCTAGAAAAAGCTTTTCATGAGGGTTTCATAGTTAGATACAACAAAGTGGGAAAGGTGGAAATGGAGGGACAGTTTTACATCAAGGTCAGTCAAATATACCTGTGTTTGGTGTTTAGTGCTGGGATATGTTATTCCGTGTCAGCATAGAAAATGCTTTTCTTAAGATCAGTTGTATTTTATTTTGATTTTTTTTTTAACTTGAATTCCTGTGAGTGGCACAGATAGATAAAGGCCAAGTAAATCCTTGGTTTGCTTTAAATTAAGTAGCAATATGAAATGGATCAGGCCTATTTGCAGGGGGTTCTTGGCATTTTATAACCTTCACAAATTTTCTTGCAGCTAGAATTCTTGTATGCCAGAAGCAAATTGAGATGGGTTTATATTCGCTGGATTCCTTTACTCCCTTTCAGATTTTATTTCCATAATGTTCATTTTCCTTTAATCTGTTATTTACTTTTGATGAGTCTATGTCTTTTGGAGAGCAGTCAAATAAAAAGAAAATCTATATTCTCAACTTTATCAGAGTTTTTCCATGATTTTTTTTCAGTTTGATCTCTTTTGTGCCTCTACACTGGACTAAACAGATAAAATTGATACACAGGTTGTATTTTGGCAAAAGCAGAGCTGTATGAATCTATTGGGTGTAGCTATTTTAAATGGAATTGTTCTGCCATAAGCAGAAGTCTTCCTTTGATCACTAGACTTTTTCCATGCTACGGAAGCTTGGCCCAGAAGTTTGCTTTCACTCCATAACTACTTAAATGGTAGTTTTAAGAAATGAAATCAGCACTCGCATTAAGATTCTGATGCACTGTATCCTTTTTTTCCTGTTGACTTTATAATATGAGAGTTTGCCTTGGTAAATCTAGTCCTTGCTTTTTTTTTTTTTTTCCTCCGTGTTAACTACAGTGTGACAGAACCTAGCAAAAATCAGCGTTCAGCCTAGCAAGATTCAAATTAGCTTACTTAATTAGTAAGTTGTGTAAGTATTAATTGTATAAATATTAACCGTATGACAGATTTGTGTGCGCTCTTCTCACATTTAGCTGCTGTTGTCTGATGCTGAGGTGACCTTTGCCTGTGATTCTCGCAGTGAGGATGGCTACTGCGAGAGCTGACTGCTCTGAATGTTTGAGAATTCAAAACGGAAAACCCGACCCTGTCATGAAAGAACACTGTGATGGGCTGCGTATACACTCTTGTTTCATTAATATACCGTCAAATGCATAATCTATTATATCCAGCAAATGTGTGTTTTAATAGCTATATTCAAGCTGAGGAATGGATAATGCTTCATTATTGCATAGCTACCATAACGGGCAGACAATGTATGTAAAGAAAACTATTGAGTCAATGTACTATTTTTCACTAATTGTTGGTATTACTGTCAGTGGAGCATGGAAATGTGGTACCAGCTGCTTAAGCAAATAAAATGGAGAGTTTTTGTTATATTTGTCTTGGCTATTTGTATATACAGTGAAGAATTTCTTGCTTCCTAACAAGATTGTTTCGTTAGTGAATGCTTTGATTTATGCATGGTAAGAATCCTGTCAGGCCGTTCATAATACACATTTTCAGAGGTGTTAGGGATGAGTCTGTTATCTGAAAAATGTTTTTGTTTCTCAGAATTTATGTTCTTGAGTAAATTGGCCATCTGCTTCTATACTTACGCTATATTCCACTTTATAAAGGAAAAAAAGTGGTAAGATAGACCCTAAACTTTTGTAAAGCTCCTAAGGATTTAATATTTCACAAAGGGTTACTGCAAAGTTTAGGATTTTTTGCCTTAAACGTGATAAAAAAAATTCAAATTTAATATCCACATAGATTTCTTTTATATGTTCTTGAATACTTATCTGACATAGTCTGGAAAATAAAAGTTATGACCATGGAAATTCTATGAGAATTTAG